ACCGACCGAAATTTTCCATTCATACTAATTACCGTCAACAGCTGTCATCAACCGTCAACATCGCTTATTGACAGTTGTTGACAGTAATTAGTCTGTCTCTTATACACATCTAGATGTTTACAATGGTACAGTCCGCACGCTTCAATGACCAGCCACTGAATTCGGTTCGACGAGATAAGGGGATTATCAAACCCTACGCAAAGGCAAATTGGACCAACTGGGAGGTCAAACTTATCCTAATGGTATTTCGAACATCGAATACATTGCGGTTAGCGCTCTAGTATTCTTATTATACCTCTATGGTTGCAGCTGAAAAGTGTACAACAAAACACGCGTTTTCTGAACGCGAATCCTATAACGAATGCATGTAAAAACACGCATTTTTTGAACGCATCCCTAACCGTGTTTTTGTTTTGTGGCCCATTTCTACTGGGGAAAAACACGTGTTTTTTAATAACCGTTTAAAAACACGTGTTTTTTACTCAGCAGAAACATGCCCACCAACGCACGTGTTTGAGTATGTTTTAACCATAGAGCTATTAAACAACTAGAGTGCTGACAAGATGGCGCAGCAATGCAGAGTTATGTATGTGTACCATCCAAGATGGCCGTCGTAGTAAAGCGCCACCTTCAGGCTTAGTATACATATTTATTACATATTAATAAGCCCTCTGACTGACTATTATTTCATTAATGATACTGAGTAATGGTAATAACAAATTATTAAACTATTGTAGCTAAAACGAGGCCAAGTGGAGCATCTTATTCAAAAATAAAGTACCAAGGCATGGAACACCGCAACGCTCGAGTTTCATACATACGGGTAACTAGCTGTACTGAACTTTCTGAGTAAATTGAGGGCGCAATTGCAAACGATGGTTCTTAGCGAAATTTGATTGACTAAATCTATGGCAGCCATCTTGGATGGCACACACACACAGTTCTGCGTATTTCGAACATCGAATACATTGCGGTTACCGCTCTAGTATTCTTATTATATCTCTATGGATGGTACACACACACACAGTTCTGCGTATTTCGAACATCGAATACATTGCGGTTAGCGATCTAGTATTCTTATTATATCTCTATGGTTTTAACACTATCGTCTTGTGGGACCTTAGCAACAATATCCAAGGAGCGGGGCTTAGCGGAAAGGTCTATAATACTGTACTGTGCTGCTGTGGAAAGCATGTATTTTTTTATTCAGTACATCATGAGACTACCTGTGTAGTTACTTCCCTTAAAATATCAATGAATGCAAATAATGTTATTTAACAGGGTTTTTTTTAAATTTATGTATCTGTAATAGTCATTTTTTTCCTTTTTTTTGTATGCACTAAATACCTACGGTATATGTTTTGCATATTCGTTATACCTCCACATATTAAGTACAGTAAAAACAATATCATTAATAGCCTACTCTACTTGATTACTTTTGATTTTACATATTATGTCTATATGCGTATATGAATGCATATTATATATTTGTTTGTATCAGGCGTGAAGTATGTGTTTATAAGCACATACATGCACAGTGTATTCATAAATTTCTTCTAATTAAATTCTTTTATTTTCGAACATTTCATTGTTTCATTTAGGGTCTTTCGTAAAAAGACATTTCGTCTTCTATAGTATAAATCTTAATGTTTTTTTTATTCATTTATGTACATATTGTTGTTACAACACTAATTCTATTGCAATTATTATTTACCATTAATTGAAATAAATCAGAAAGATGAAGTATAGTTATCAACATAAATATACATTCGCATTAAACTAATTATAAACAACCCTTGTTTAATATTTGGTTTTCAAACTCAGACCTTCTAAGTACAGGAATATTGTCCGTGTTATTTTCAGCTACTGTGGGTTGTGTGGGACTTGGTGGTAAATATGAACAATCAGTCGAATTTTCCGTGTCTTTTGCTTTACTAAATCTTGTGCATCCTTAGGAATTACCTTACTCTTTACTCGTTTGTCTTTATGATACATCTATTCTTAATCATACTTTTATTACGCATTTTCTTAACACTATTACGAGTAGCGGACTCTGTGAAATCGGCAATTGAAAATAGCTTAATATTATTTTGTCACCCGAAAATGAGCTTTGCAGGATTTTACCTCTAGGGGGATGAGGTGTTGCACGTTAATTCATTAAAATTTTCCTCATTTCTAGTTTACAATTTTTACCTTCAACTAACGAACATCGAATATTTTTGCCAAGACTTTTAATGAAATTTTCGATACTTAAACCCACAACCATTCACGTACCTTTTAAATTCATTGGCATTACAATGTTGGCATTTATCGCTCTGTAAATTATCTGAATAACCAAGGGATGTCAAAATACGATCTAAGAGTGGAATTGCAAAGGCAGAATTAGTCGAACTTGTTATCTCTACCTCTGGATATCGGGGATATTCAATTACGACTACTAAAAAAAATGATCGTTTCTGTAGTCCATTTATAAATAAGTAATGCATGATTGCTCAGTGCTTTATTTGTTACATTCCTCTGATATCAGGGTACAATAATGAGCGAACTGATGACACTAACAAGTACCACGATGAACTGTACAGCTGCAAACATCTACTTCACTTTCCTGATGAGGTTGCCTGTATTTTAACTGAAACTGAACATTGTCTTTTCAACCAAGTTCAACCACAAAGTTATGTGCGATATATCACATCAAATGAAGTTGTCATAAACGAACTTGGAAACTGTGCTAATCACGATGTTGGCCAAAAGACTGTGGATGACTTAGTGCTAAGATTCAAAGAGGTAAACTTATTATTTTATAATTGATTATTATCATTTGAAATAGGTCTACTTTTTTATTGTAAATTATTATAATTCTTTAAATAAGTGGTTTTTTTAAATGTTTGTATATTGTATTCCAATTACACTATTTTGTATTACTACAACTTGTGATTCTACTTGGTAAACTGATTTTTTAGTTTATTCTGTGGAATGAAGAAACGAGTTAACAAATGCCTGCAGAGGACTCTCCAGAATCTTTCTGACAGTTCAGTGCAATTGTTTAATTACATTGGCAGATATAGAAGTATGAACAGACTAATGACTTAGAACTCAGGGTGATGTATGGATTTGAATCCTATATTTAAATACACAGAAAAAAGATAAATATAAATTTTATAATTAACGGCCGAAATAGACAACATTAGTTTACAAAGTAGTACACACAGTGACTCTGTATTCACGGTATGCCCATTTTAAGGATAAACAAATTCTGGTTTGATGTTAAATATAATAGCACAAAAGTTGTAAAAATAAAAGATTTAAATGAAATATTATTTCAAGTCTACTGCAGTTGTATTGATTAATTTAAAAAAATTATTGTGTTGATTTTACCATTTGGCACACACAGAATGTACCCCGTTCCTTTAATAGGTGTTGGCTGTAATGTGTAAAATATTTATTTTCACTCCCATTAGACGTGTTGTCTTATTAGGGGTGGCCCCTAAATCGGAGTGTCCCAAAGGAGGAGTTTTACTATTTATTTATTTATTACATATTCGGCAAAACAAATCAGAAAATGGCCAGAGAGGTGACAAGAGGACACAAGAGAGCCCAACACAATGTGTGGGTATCCTCTAAACCCCTGGCCAAACTAACAAACGATAACTAACAAAACAGCACAAAGGCAAAGATGACATATCAGAATAAAATAGCCAATAAAAAGATTCATAAAATAGGTAAAAAATGTAACAGATTTAAAAAAAAAAAAGAAAAGAGTTTACAGGATTTCATTCTGCAAACCGTACGGTTAAAATTGGTGTTAAAATACAAAAAGAACAAAGAATGAATTAAAACAAGCCTACAAATGTTTAAAATTGGAATAATTACAAAATCTTAAAATTAAAGTATATACAGGATGTTTAAACCATAAAACAAACTGCAAGCAGTACAAAGTTAAAAAGTCACCGTTAGCTAGTTTCCTATAAAGAGTGTAAATGTTGTGAAACCGCATTTTTAAAAACCACGTTCGTTCAGACATAAACGGAGGTTGACAGGAACATCTTTCCAGAGTTTTGCAGCCTCAACATAAAGTGAGCGTTGGTAGAATGAAGTGCGAACAGGGACTCTAAAGAGCTTAGTGTGATCGCGGGAATTTAGTATGAAAGGAATATCAAGATTAGATGGGAATTTATGCTGAAAGTAGCATGAGGCAAACTCCAGAAACGCTCCTCCTGACAAATAGAGAGAAAGGTAAAACATTCTAAGTCGTTCAGAGTAAGTTGGGCGGTCTTCATACCTGCCACCTCCTTGGACAAATGCGATCCTGGTAGCAGCCCTCTGTATCTCTTCAAGCCTATTACAATATTAAATTTCATGAGATCACACAACAGAGCATTATTCAAGAATGGGTAAAACAAGGAATTTATATAAGTAAAGAAAAAATGGAGACCAAGACAAAGAGAAACTCGTGAAATAAAAACCAGGCATCGAGAGGCTCGCGAACAGACAGTTCTAATATGAGATCTAAAGGAAAGATTAGATAATATTATAACACCAAGCAACTTTGCTTCATAAACAAATTGCATTGGTAAACCAAGAATTGTATAGTAGGGCTCTGGGATGTCTGCTCGAGAGCCTGTCGATAGCCGAAGAACTTTACATTTAGATGCATTTAAAGGTAGTCCATTATCAACACACCAATTTAAACAATTATTATTGTCCATCTGGAAATTTATAATGTTTGAGGCGTCGTTCACAAGGGTGCGAATTGATCCAGTCGGGACGACAAAATGAGGTGAACAAAATAAAAAACAAATCAAAAATAAACAAAAACCTAAGACGCTACCCTGAACAACACCACTCGGAATGGGCCTAACTCCTCTCCCCGGAAAACAACTTTGTATGTTCTATTGTCAATTAATGAATGCATACCTTTTAGTGTCTTGCCACCAATTCTAAACTTAAACAGCTTAGTCAACAATTTACTATAAATAACTTTATCAAATGCGCTAGAAAAATCAGAAAATGCAACATCAATGAATGTACATTTGCGCCTATCAAAGTTTCTGACCCAAATATAATAAAGATTGGCGAGCAGAAACTTAGTACTTCGCCCTTTGAGAAAGCATAAAGATCTTGGTATATTTATTGATTCAAGGTTAGCGTTTACATATCATATTAATTTTATTACGGCGAGGACCAACAGAGTCTTGGGAATGATGTGGCGCAATTGCAGATCTTTTGATATTCCAACTAAACGCTTTCTTTATCTCACAATGGTTAGACCATCTTTAGATTTTTGTTCTGTTATTTTTAATTCAATATCTAAAAGTAACTCTAAACGAATCGACAGGATACACTTTAGGTTCTAGCGCTTTATCTGTCCTGAAACATTTGGCCCTCGTCGTATTAACAATAATATAATCAATTTTGACGATGCCATCATTTACTTGGTCAATAAAAAGTTAAATGTTACTTGTCCGTCTTCTAAACGTATGTAACTTGATCTTTTGTTCCTGTTTAAATGTGTGAATTCGTTTGATTGTAACCTTATCTCGTATTTCTTACTTAAAGTTCCTGGTCTTCGTCTTCGTCACCATGATTTATTTTCTGTTCAGTTTTGTCGTATTAATGTCTGTAAAAATGGTTTTATTTCACGATTATCTACTTTGTATAATGATTTTGTTACAAAATGTCCTGAAGTTGATATCTTTTCTAATTCTTTAAATATGTTTAAATGTCACCTTAATAATTATATTTCTCATTAGTGCTGTGTGTTTTAAGTGAAATTTGTAATTTTTTAAAGTGTTATTTGGTGTTCTAAGGTGAGATGAGAATGCCTCCGCAATATCACACGGTGAAGAGGTAATATTCCCATTGCAAGCAAACGTTTGTGGCGCTGAAGGCTCCTTCATTGCGCGGACATAAGACCAAAATGAGCAAAGAGTCTTACCCTCTTTCTCATTAGTGCAGTATTGCTCCAGCCATAATCTTAAAAACTGCTGTAGTCACCCCTATTTTGAAGAAACCGTCTCTTGATCCCCAACAATTCCAGCATTTTAGGCCAATTTCTAATCTTCCTTATCTTGCCAAACTTATTGAAAAAGTTGTTTCCTTACAGTTAATTTCATATCTTACTCAATTTAATTTGTTTGACCCCTTTCAATCGGCATATAAGACTGGTCATAGTACTGAAACTGCCCTTCCTAAAATACACAATGACATTACTGTTGCTCTAGATAGGAAACGGGTCGTTGCCCTTATACTCTTGGATCTTTCAGCGGCTTTCGACACTGTTGATCACAATATCCTACTTCACAGATTATTCTCACAGTTCTTCATTTCTGGTACGGCTCTAAACTGGCTTGCATCATATCTAATTAAACGAACTCAATCTGTAGAAATAAACAAAATTAGATCTGATCCCCAAATTATTGAATATGGAGTTCCACAAGGCTCAATTCTTGGCCCCCTTCTTTTTTCCCTTTACATATCCCCTCTATCCGAAATTATCAAGTCCCATAACCTTTGTTATCACATTTATGCTGATGATATCCAAATTTATATTGATTTTGATCCCTCTGACTTCATTCAAACACGTCTCGAAACCTGCCTCCACGACATCCACAGTTTGCTGTCCAATAACATGCTTATGCTAAACGAAAATAAAACTGAATTCATCATCTTCGGCACTAATAAATCTAGCTCAAGAACATCAACTCACTCCATATTGGCTCATCTATCAATAAAACTTCCTCTACCATTTCCAACCTTGGCGTCACATTTGATGACAAGCTTTCCATGCAAAATTACATTGGTAAACTCATAAAATCTGTTAACTTTCATCTACGTAATATACCACTTATCAGAAAATACTTATCTACGGCACTGATTATTCACGCTTTCATTTTCTCCCGACTTGACTATTGCAACTCTCTTTTATTTAACATTCCTAAAATCCAAATTAACAGGCTTCAACGACTACAAAACTTTGCTGCACGTATACTAACATTTACTAACAGACGCACTCATATAACCCCCATTTTACGTGAACTTCATTGGTTGCAAATTGATGCCAGAATTCAATATAAAATCCTTTTACTGACTTATAAGTCACTGACTCTCAATCAACCCGCATACATTCATCAACTTCTTCCCAAATATGTGCCTGGCCGTTCCCTACGTTCATCTGATCCCAATTTAATTTCTGTCCCTCGCACTAACACTAAGACCTTCGGACACAGATCATTTTCATTTGCTGCAGCCACACTCTGGAACGCACTACCACTTCACATTAAAAATCAACATCAATTGCTTTATTTAAAAAATCACTCAAAACGCACTTATTCCAACAATAACATGAAGCGCCACTGATAATTACTTCGGTTTTTTAAATGGCGCTATATAAGTTCTTAAGTAGTTGTTGTTGTTGTTGTTGTTGTTGTTGTTGTTAAATAATAATATTATTATTATTATTATTATTATTATTATTATTATTAATTATTATTATTATTAATTATTATTATTAAATTTAAGACGAGAAAGAGCTTTAACTTTATTGCTCATTTGCCTGAATTTTCGTGGTCATGACCAAAGATTTTATATTTATTATAGAGTTTTTTTTTTCCCTTTGTATTGGTTTTTCGAAGATCAGGTGTGACCAATTTTCCCATTTAGTCTTAAATATCATATTTGGAATGGAATCATGCATAGCGGCAGATATAATGTCAACCCAACCATTCCATATGGTATCAATATTACTTTCATAAAACATGTCAGATGGAACGCATTTAATAAGTCTTTCAAAGTGATCCCAGTCCGCCTTAGACCACTTGTATGCACGTCTAGCCACACTTTTATGTAAAAAGAGTTAAAGTTGATATTCAAAGAAAGGTAAATACAAAAGGGTAAACTTAACTGTGTTAACGGCTATCTTGATTAATATTATATACATATATATACATATATATTCATATATATATGATATATATACATATATATGATATATATGATATATACGCAGCAACATTGATTCTATATGTTACTTCATTATAATACAAGTATGACTTCTAGAGTATTCTTTGGCAACAGTATATTATTTGTTTGAAGAAGTGTCCTGGTTGGGTTGTATATGCGATCTTCCAGGGGCCCCTAGTGGTAAATATGTATGGCACTCAGCTGGACAGCAAGACATCACATTTTAATTTCCTCCGCCAGGGGCACATTTTCAAACAGTTGATAAGGAACATTTTTGTTAATAGGCTATTCCCGATACGATACTTACATCACTTTTCATTTATTCGAGCTCTGTTTTCACCATTATTTAATTATATATACAGATCGATACACACAAAAATCAATATATATATATATATATATATATATATATATATATATATATACATATTTGAAAGTAAGATGTGTATAAGAGACAGATGTTATTGCCTTCATACCACTACTTGAATGTGATATTTAATTTAAGTCTACATAATTTCATTTATGCTAAGGTTAATCTATATACTTTTCTGAATTTTTCTGGATGTTTCTTTTATTTCTTTTAACTTTCTCCATTATATTCATTTTATATTCTTTTTTATTCATTTTCACCTTTCAATTTTTTTTTCTTTTCCTTTCCGTTCTTTGTTTTCTTTTCCTTAATTTTCTTTTCCGTTTCTTTCCCTTTCAATATTTACATAATGTTTATATATCATGTGAAAATGATAATTAGCCATCTCATAGACAAGAGGTCTATTCGATATTAGTGTCTTCACACCATTAATTTAAATATTTGATTTATGTTTACATAATTTCATTTATGCTAAAACTAGCTTTAATATAAACGATGTTTAATATCTGCGTCTATCTCTCTCCCTCTGTACTTGCTCTCATACCATACAAAGCAGTTATTTACTTATTTTTAAAATTTACTTTTGATTGATTACTAATTTGTTATTCCTTAACTGTTTTCTATTAATTTTTTTATTTCCATTTCTTTCATGTACCTTTCTTAATTGGCAATCATTCTGAAATCCAACGTGGCAGTTGTCGGACTTCTTTCTAAATGGTGTTACTTTACTGCAATAGGCAGGTCTCACTATGATTATGAGATGTTTGATGATTGCATGATATCCCTAATTATACATATACACAATCTTGATTCACAGTGCTGGTACTTTACATATTTAAATATGGAAAAAAACATTTTGGCCGCCATCTTTATATCCAATATGGCAACCATCTTCAAATTAAATATGGCGGCCTTCTGACATAATTTCTGATATCTGAATGATACTCCCGGATATCGAAAACACGAGTAGAGATCTTTGACGGTGCTAGGTGTAGCAGATAAGATATTGACAAAAATAGCAATAATTTGGCTGCGATCTTGAAATCCAATATGGCGGCACCATTTGTCATAATTTCTGATGATTGCATGACACTCCCTGATATTGAAAACATGGGTAATGATCTTCAATCGGCAATGACATGTGCTGTAGATATGAGTATATCGGCTAAAATCAAATATTTTGGCGGCCATATTGGATTTCAAGATGGTGGCCTCCATAAATTACCTGGATAGCTACTTAGCCCTAAGGGGTATCTACGACCCATTGTCTGATTGATATTTATCATAAAATAATCTCACATGCGGAGTACCAGACTCCATAAGTAGGCAGCTTTAGTTGATGTAAACTTTCGATTCGATTGACCATAACATAGCTTTTAATAGTCTTCTTAATATGAAAGTTTGTCCATCAATCATGCAATGATAGTGTAGTTTTATATAGCGCACATATCCATCTAATGTAAGATGCTCAGGGCGCTTGATATGTGGACTAGGAACTCAATCAATGACTTTCTTCGCCCCTAAGGGTCCCTTCGTGTCTGTGCTACCCGGCAACAGCAACTCTCGTCGTCCATCTGGTAGACTTCCTAACCAATAGAAGGCAGAGAGCGAAATATGAAAAAAAAACACTTACAGGAGGTGTTCCTCAAGAACAATTCTAGCTCTTACCATTTTCGTATGCATCAATAATAGTGTGCTTCAAGAATAACAAGTGAACACGAGTATCCAGGTCTGAAAGTATGTTGACGATCTCAATGCATACTTGGTGAAATAAAGTTATAAATAACTCAAGTTATAACTCAAAAATACCGTAGATATGCTTTTTCAGTGGTCAGAAGTAAACAACCTGAACTTAAATCCAACTGACTGTCAGATAATGAGGATATACTTTGATCATAAAACATTTCCAGACCTGGATATCATACTTTCTAATATTTTACCTACTGTTAACGAGGTTAAAGTACTTGGTGTGATAGTCCAGTCAAACTTGAACCGGGTTAGTCATGTTGACATTACGATTGCTAATAAAAAGTTGTGTATGTTACGCACACTCATTTAGGAAGGTTTCAACAAATCAGAATTAATGACTCCATTTAAGAGGTATATTCGACTAACCTTAGCGTATGCTGTTGCTGTTTAGAATGGCGGGCTCATCAGATTGCAGCTGGGTCGCCTCGATGGGGTACAGAAGCGAGTGTTCCACTCCTTGCTTGGTGAGCAGTACATAACCTACTAGGATGTTGCGCTCGGGCTGGAGCGTCTTAGCGATCGCTGGGCCAAGTTTGCTTGAAAGGCCACCAAAAGTGAAAGGTTATTGCATTGGTTTCCCAATGCAATTCGACTCGCAGTATGTAACTTAAAAATGTGAAGAAATGGGGAAATTTTGGCCATTCCACCACTAGATTAAAAAAAGTCCTTTGCCATATGGTTAGATTGGTATTCATAGTGAATTATTGAGTATGAAGGCATAATCACATGTAGCATAATCTAACAATATATGCTATGATTATTTCTACTTATGCACATATTATTATATTCCTTAATTTCTAAATTGTATTACACAGTCATCATGACAATCATGCCTTATTTTATTTACATATACTATTATATTCCTACATCAATTTTCTATTCCACAATTGTTTATAATTTATATAAATC